CGCGGGCCCTGCTCGCCCCCCGGGAGGGAACACCCAGGAGCAGCTCACCCGGCTGGGACTGGGCGCCACCACCAATGACTTACCAGCTGGGAGGCTGCCGTGCCCAGCCTGCTGTACCCCGTCTCCCACCCATCCCGACTCAGGGAGCCCCGACCTGTGGTGACTATCCAAGCCCCGTGTGAGGTCACGGCCCCCACGTCCTGGCCCGATCCCCTGGCGATTCCTGTCAGCTTCCTGGGTCCCCTCTCCCGGCTGGGACTGGGCGCCACCACCAATGACTTACCAGCTGGGAGGCTGCCGTGCCCAGCCTGCTGTACCCCGTCTCCCACCCATCCCGACTCAGGGAGCCCCGACCTGTGGTGACTATCCAAGCCCCGTGTGAGGTCACGGCCCCCACGTCCTGGCCCGATCCCCTGGCGATTCCTGTCAGCTTCCTGGGTCCCCTCTGCATTCTCAGCTGACGACGCTCCGTTTTGTTTCCTGCCCCCAGCGTCAGGTGGTGGGGCTGGGTACTGAGAGAGTCTGAGTGTTCTGCCTCCCAGAGGTCTTGGATCCTGGGCATCCCCGGATATCTCCTGGCCATGCCTGTAGTAATGTCTCCACTCTGGGCAGTTTTCTATGGCAGAAATATTATGATGGAGCCTTAAACGCCCCCCTCCCAGCCCCTCATTGCTCTGGGAAGAGGTTAAAGTTCCCCGGGGCAGAGGAGGAAAGACGAGGCATTTACTGCCTGCGTGGGCCAGAAGTGCCTTGTTCTACAGCGCACTGGGCTGCTTGGCCCTCTCCCGCCCAGAGGCAGCTGCATTTCAGGGCAGGATAAAATGATTCTCTATGGCAGGGGCGGGGAGAAGCAAATAACAAAACAAAACAAAAACGTGACCCCTGACTGAGAAGAAAAGACGCTCCCCACATTCCCCTCGCACACCAGAGCCTGGGGGAGCCCAGCCTAGTAGATTGTGTGTGCAGCAGTGGGGCATTGGAGGGGGGCGGATGGAGCACCAGTATGGGCTCCCCAATGCAGGGGGGGGGACTGAGCCTTGGGGGTTGGATCCAGGCAAACCAGGGGCCACATCCGGCCCCCCCAGGCCGAGGTTCCCCACCCCTGCTCTACAGCCGATAAGTGCTTTGGAGTGAAAGACCCTGAGGAAAGAGCAGCCGCGGTAGCAGCTGGACAGGGAGTTTTCAGGGGTTCCGTAGCCTGGCCACCTGCATAACACACAGAATTCCTAGAGCGGCTGTAACACGCTCCTTCTCCTTCCCCCTGGCCAGAGGGCAGCTGTGAGCGGGACTCCTGCCAGGACAGCGGCTCTCCTGCAGAAAGCTGGTAAGGAATCAGCCCCCCCGGAGAAACCTCCTGTCTTGGGTTGGGCGCTCACACTGACCCCCCCGCGCCGGGCAGCCCTCAGGAGACGCTGACGCCACATCACGGCGCATAGTGGTGCCATGGGCTTTGGAGACCTGGCTCAGCCCATCAGGGAGCGTGGTTTAGGGTCTAGTTTGCTGCTGTGATTTGAAAATGACCCACCCTAGGGCTAGGAGGGCTGTGGGTTGGGAGTGAGGCGCATCAGCAGAGCTGGGAGGGGAGCCCCGGGTGGTACGGGAGGCAGCCGGGCAGGTGCTCCAGCTGAGGTTTGGGGGCAGGGCGGGAAGGAAGCCGTGACTCGCAGGAGATGGGGACGGCAGGGCAGGAAGCATGGGCCAAGCCGG